GATTCACCTGGGCTAAGACTGGGCTTTTAAGGGCGGCGTCATGGGGACGCCAGCAGAAACTGAAGAGAAGCCAAGAGAAGCCGAAGAAGCTGAAAGAGAAGCCGAGAGAGAGAGAGATCACCAGAGAGCCCAGATAGAGTGAAGACTTGCTGGGGGCTGGGAGGCCTGCTTTGTACCGGGTAAATCCCAATAAAAGACCTGCAAAAACCACTGAGGACTCTGATTCCTCCTTTACCCGGTCTGCATGGGATCCTAGAAAACCTGCTCAGTGGCCATTCCTGTCCCTACAAATCTTACTCTTCAGTGCCTTTCCAATTACATTAAAGATGTGTTGTTCTGACAGGTATTTCAGTTCCAAGATGCTGCAAAATCTCAAAAATGCAAAACTAATACTTATGATCTTATTTGGGAGGAAAAATGTCAAATGTCTTAGAAATAAAAAGGTATAGGCGAGACTCAAAGTTCTGGGTGTCTTTTGCAGGCAGAATTGAGTTAGATGTTCTTTACTACCTACAACAGAGCACTGCTGGGAGGATTCAATAACACTTCATCAGTTGTATGTGAATTCTCTTCATCCTTCTCGTCAATCTCGGAGTGTTACTTTGAGGAAAAAAAAAAAAAAGAACTCTCACCCACCATGGATCATTAGAGGGAGGCTCATTACCAGTGTTAGTGTGGAGTATTGGGAGTCATTCACAGAACACCTTTTAATTCTTAGCTATCAGGACAATGTTGGGGTGGGGGTTGTGCATTCTGTGTTATGCATATTAATTAATCAGGCACTCCCCTGTTCTTGGGAGTAGTGGAAAGGGCATAGAGCCCAGCAGCCTTTTGTAGTTGTGGTCCTTGAGCAAAGCAATAGAAAATGCCTAAACCTCAGACTGTCTGGAAATTGAAACTAATGATCTGCATGACTGTGGCCAGGCGGCATTGAGATGATGTTATCCGCAAGAGGCCAGGAACCGGAAGCACTCTGCAAATCTCTGATACAGGCAGCAGCTCTCCTTACAGTACCTCCCTTTGCAGAATGTGTGTGTGTGTTCTGGCTCATTTATTTTCTCACATTCTTGCTAAGTTTAGTGACCCCAAGCAAGTAAAGGTTTGTTTGCATACATATATTTTATTGACTTGAAGTAACCTATTGATTGGGTGACTTTTCGCTTCTGCTTGTTCAAACTGGCTTCCAGGGCTGCCTACCAGATTTTTAAATAAACAATAGTTAGGTAAGTTTCCCCCAAAGGGGGACCAACTTTAAAAGGAAAGAAACTATAGGAACTTTACCTTCTCATAGCCCAGGTTTGGATATTTGTAGAAGTTCACAGTTGCTGATATTGATTATGTGTTTAGAATTTAAGAAACTCTTCTATGAATTTCTAACCCTTCTGACTATATATAATTCACATCAACATTTGTCTGCTCCCAACTTGGTGATATATATATATATATAATATGCATCACATGTATACACCCCTCACACACTCTGAAGTCATACACTGCAACCTCCTCTGATGCTAGAAAACCTACCTCTTGCTTAGTCTTCTGGAGAAAATGACTGTAGCTCTAGTTCAAAAATTGTAAATTGATTGCCTATGAGCCAACACTGGCCTGCATAGATGTTTTATTTGGCCTTCACAAGTTTTTAATTTAATCAAATAGTAGCTAAAGTTTCAAAATTAAACAACACAAATTTTAGCCTGGATTGCCAACTTGTCTTAAAAAATGTGATAAACTGGTAATGCCCGTGTAGCGGCCGGAAGGCCACAGAGCAGGATCTCTATGATTCGAGCAGATAGGCGAAGGAGTTGTCCTGGAGACCTCAGTGGCTTTTTCTGGCTTTTTCAGGCTTTTATTAGTCATTTACCAGATACACGGCAGGCAGGGGGCCCGGGGGCCAGGAGCCTGGCAGGCCTCCTAGCCCCCGGCGAATCTTCACTCTTTCTGGGCTCTCTGGCATTCTCTCGTGGTCTTAGTCTCTCTCTTCTGCTCTGCTGGCATCGCCGTGATGCTGCCCTTATAAGCCCAGTCTCTCAGCCCAGGTGTACCCACCTATGCATGCCCACACCCTACTCCAGGTGTCTGCCATCAGACATACTTTTAATCTAATAGCAGGAGGGCAGAAAAGCCTGACACTTTACTTACCCTACAACCCATCAGCATTCAATTGTAACAGTCACCTAGAACTTAGTAGCAGCTAGACTAGGGCTGTCTGGTTCCTCTATTAGGTCTGGTTGACTCTTTTGTTACAAATCAGTCTTCTATGAGCATTGAGGAAATAGTCTTTCACTTAAAACTTGTACATTTGAAGTGACCAGTTTAATATCACAGGATAGAGAGGAAATAATTGGGATTGACTGGTATACCCAATGCCAGGACATCTGAATGAATAGGTGAAACTCCTCATTTGAACCAGAAAGTAAAAACGTACAACAATGAACACAAAGGTCACAGGTTCCCTCAAGTGGTTCTCTGAGCTCACAGAACTCGGTCTTTGTCTATATGAATGATGCCCCTCCCCTGCCACTTCTACCTCCCATATCTTTGAGACAGGGAATTGCCTGCAACTTCTATAAATGTCAAAAAAAAAAAAAAAAAAAGCCTAGAGAAAGAAGGAGAAGTCAATAGTAGGCGCTCAGAAAATATGAAGTACTCCATCCAGTGATGGATGTACCACGAAGTCTCTTTTCTTTTCTTGACTGTGACAAAGCCTAAATTCATGAGATGAAAACTAAATTTGCCACTAATGTCCTCTGGTGAATAGATTGATGAATGAATGAATGAATAAAATGAAAGCATTTGCTGTCTCCTTGGATGGATAACATATTCATTAATTAGCAAGGCATAAATAAGGGGGAAAATGAGAACATATCTTATATATCATGAAGGGGGATTAAAGAGTAACCATTTTTAAGGATTGATGGAGGAAAGTAGCTTGTGAGTAAAGAGTGAATTCTACTTATTTCAGTAATTATTTCAAAATTCAGAGTCTGGAACTTTTATGGAAGAACCAGAAGGCCAGGGTTCTTGAAATCTTATGGAGGAACAAATTGCCCTCCTTGTTTCCATTACCACCTCACCCTATTGTTCTACCCTGAAAGGAACAAGAGGAGAAGACAGCTGGGTAGGGAAAAAGAAAGCAGTTAAGGGAAGCTTTAAACTGAAACTGGAGGGAAGGGGAAAATATCCAACTAAAAACTGTAAAACGAGTTATTACAGGTGACACCATGTATGACAAAATAAGAAAATTGAGGAAGCATTGAAAAATTGACAGGGTAGAGTAACTTGGGGAAAGTGTAGAAATATGGGTATGACTTCAGTTATTTTGAACACTTAAAATTTTGAACTTTAGTCTTTGGCAGAAAGGGGTAAAGATGACTGCCTGGGTATGATGAAGACTTAGTGGTAGGGACATATGGCATAATGGTGAGAGGGTTAGAAAAGGGAAAAACAAATTCCAACATTGAGAGCATATACCATAGGTCACCTGATCAGAAAAAGGGAAGGAGTGATGCACATATAATGATTAGACAATGGGTGTTTTCTCAGTGATGGCTCAATTTCAACTTTTTAAATGTAATTTCTCACTATTTAGATGTTATGTCTCACTTTCCCCCTTCCTGTAAGATCTTATTCTCTTTGTCCTAACTCCTCATCCCCATTCATTTGTAAGTGTCTCAAAGGTGGTGGCAATAGCCTTGAAATTTCCATAATTTATTGAGGACTCGGGTAAACTGTGATTGCTCTTGAGCTGACTTTTCAATTGACATACAGAGGTTCTGGTCATTGGCTAGAGAACTGAGCAAAGATGTGTATATGTTGGAGGGAATGAGAGTGGCAAAGAATTTTGTTCAGATTGGGGTCCCAAATTTAAATGCCTGCTGGAGTCAGCCACCTCATCTCAAGGGAGCAACTCCTACTCAGTCCTAGCACATTGTTGCCTTGGGAGAATATAGGTCCACTGTTAACAGATGTTCTGATTTAAAAAAAAAAATCCAATGGGAAATTTGTATTTTTATATGAAGCCTGCCTTTTAAATATTATCAACTAATTAAAAACTGAAAAATACTAGACAGGAAAAACATAAAACTTCCACAACCACATCCAAATGTGAATTCTAATATAAATGGTGGATGGAATTCATGGTAGAGTCTTGATTTGGTGACTTGAACTAAGCTTGGCTGTCTATCCAGCAGAATGGGTTTGGTTTCATCTTGGTGGGCATAAATACTTCTTCCAATGGTATCTTGCATCTTGGTTTGTATCCTATAAATGTAATTGAGAATTTCCTTAAATGGCAACAGTAAGTAGACTCTATGATTAGCTCAAGTCAGTCTATTCAACAAGTAACAGAAAAAGCAGGAGTGAGACTGTGAGATATATAAAGAAAATGATCAGAGGGTAGTTCATTTTGGGTACACTTTTGTTTTCTCACCACATCATGTATCCCTTGAAGGCCATGGTGAGACTTTTGATTTGATTCTAAAAGTGTGGGGAAGCTGTTGGAGGCTGTGGTCAGGAAAAGAACTTAATTCAGCTTAATATTCTAAAGGGGACACTCCAAAAATATTTAAAGGAAGGCTCTGTCTAGAGCTGCAATCTGGAGACTTCCAGAAAATCTGTCTTTACTGAATTCAGCCTCTTCCCCTATCTTTTCCCATTCTGTCCTAAGAATGCTGTTCTTATATTTCTTTAAGTTCTTATATTTCTGTATCAACGTCACTCTTCCCCACCCCTCACCACAATGGGAATGTTCTCTGTAGTTCTTGGGTGATGTAGCCTAAGAAACTTAGAGCATATATCATCCTGAATGTGCTAACCAAGGGCAAAGTATGTCTTTTCTGACCGAACTAACTTCCTTGTGTTCTTAGCCTAGGCTGGCCCTTTCTCAGATAATGTGACAAAGATAGTACCTTCCAAATATTTGATCTTGTCAACTGAGAGAAAACTGATGTGGTCTTGTAAATTGATATAATTACTCAAAACTGTATGCTTTTGTCTTTCAGAAAATACTGAAGGAGGGACCTTTGCTAAAGAACTGTAACTCTTTCCAGAGATGGAAGCTTAGATACTTTTTAGTTCGAGGACAAAGACTTTGCTTTGCACATCATCCTGCGGTAAGAGAATATATATATCAATCAGATAGATTGATAGATAGATAAATAGATAGATAGATAGATAGATAGATAGATAGATAGATAGATAGATAGATAGATGATAGATAATCTTGTTAATTGGGTTAATGGGTAGTGGGTGGGTGCCAGGAAATATTTGTGTGAGGAGACGGACCAGTAAAGTTAGCCAACATTAAGGTGAAAGTTGAAACCTTCCATTTTTCCTTTAACTTGTCTTCTATGGTCAAATTTGGGACATTTTCCTCACCACTTCCCTGATTCCCTTCCCTTTTATAGACTCCTTGTTAGCTTCTGTACCCAGAACCAATTATGGAACTTGCAGGACCCGAAACAAAATGAAAATGCAGGACCCCTTATTCAGAAATCAAGGAAAAAGTGTCATTAAAGATTCTAAAATATAAAGCAATGATTTGGCATCGCATCTTTTATTTGCTATCTAATGTAATCCTAAGTAAAGAAAAACTAAAATTTTAAACTATTAATGATTTTACCATTCATCTGTATATTATATAATGCCAGTTTTCAAAGCAAATAGAAGAGCATTTAATGCATTTGAAGAACCACCAACTTACATAATTCATATTGAGTAGCTCATACACACATATATTTTGTTCTCACCAATACACAAAACTGCACAAAATTGGTTCACTCTTTTCACCCTTGATACTTAATACATTCTACCACCACAATAACTGCAGGGAAACAGGTTGCCCTTTCTTTCTCTTTCATTGTCATCATTTTCAGCATAAAACAATAGATTAATGTCATTAATACCATTATACACCATTAATACCATTAACATGAGTATTAAATAACACAAGAGTTTCCTGGTTATTCATGTTTCTTGGAATCCCATTTCCTTTTTTCTGTTTGAAGCAAGTTCTTGTTCCAAAAGAAAGTGTGTCTCAGGCTTGTCAGCGCCCCTACGTAGCCAGTCATAGTTGTGAAGTGCTTACTTCTTACCTGCTTTGCTTCTCCCTGAACTCCCACGCGTCCTGGGTCCCCTGGAGTTCTATTCTCATGAGTGTCATGAATGCAAATGGAGCGACAAGACACTGCCTGGACCTGTGCATTGTGCATATCTCCTCCCATCATAGGCATAATCCATCACCCCACTTAACTGCATTACAAAACATAAGTTCAAAGATAGAACAATTAAAAGTTTCAAGATCAGACTAGCAGAGCTTTAAGCCAAGCACAAAACCCTTCTGAACGGGGTCCTGTGTGACTTGCACAGGTTACATAGCAGTGAGGCCACCCTGTTTGTATCCACAATACTAATTTCCTCCTGCTGGGTGTTGCGGAGTGTTTAAGGAGTGTAGGGTAAATAAAAGGTATCAGGCTTTTCTGCCCTCCCGACATTAGGATTGATGACGGAACCCTGCGATCCTAAATGCATGCCTGATGGTGGGCACCTGGAGTAGGGTGTGGGCATGCGTAGATGGGGTACGCCTGGCCCAAGACTGGGCTTATAAGGGTGGCATCACGGGGACACCAGTGGAAGAGCAGAACTACAAGAAACGGAACAACAGAGCGGAAACCAGTAAGAGAGAACAAAAGAGAACATCAGAGAGCCCAGAAAGAGTGAAGACTTGCTGGCACCCCTTGTCTGCCGTATACCTGGTAAATCCCAATAAAAGTCTGCAAAAGCCACCGAGGACTCCAGAACTCCTTTACCCTTCTGCTCAGGCCATATAGAACCTGCTCCGTGGCCTTCCTGCCGCTACAAGGGGACACAGGGCTCAAACAAGATAGGGAAACAAAGCAAGGAGCCAAGTGGAGCAGATAGGAGTTATCTGCTTGGCTCCTTGCTAGACCACATTGGCTCCTTGCTAGACCACATTACATTATCTTCACTATAAACCTTTATTTTTGAATAATTGTGAACTACCTAAGACTTCCTATAAGCTCACATAAAAATAGTTTTATAAAGAGTTGTGTTGCGGCAAGAATGGGCACAGGGCAGGTTTTCCATGATTTGAGCAGATGGGTGAAGGAGGGAGTCCTGGAACCCTCAGTGGCTTTTCAGGCTTTTATTGCGATTTACCAGGTACATGACAGGCAGGGGTCCTGGATGGCAGGGGTGCTGGGGGGCCGGGAGGCTGGCAGGCCTCCCAGCCCCAGCAAGCCTTCACTCTATATGGGCTCTCCGGCCTTCTCTCGCGATCTCTCTGCTTCTTTCGTGGTTCTGCTTCTCTGCTCTCATTCTCTTTCGCTCTTCTCTCTGCTGGTGTCCCTGTGACGCCGCCCTTATAAGCCCAGTCTCTCAGCCCAGGTGTACCCACTTACGCATGCCCACACCCAACTCCAGGTGCCCGCCATCAGGCATGTATTCAGGACCGCAAGGATCCATCATCAATCCTAATGGCGGGAGGGCAGAAAAGCCTGACACTTTACTTACCCTACAAGTTGTGATTGTTTGATTTTTGTTGGTCACATGATAGAGCCACAAAGCCATGATACTAAATAAATTCCAGCACTCCAGTCAAAGAAATAGCTGGTTTATGGCTGTCAGAATGCCTAAGTGTATGGGTGTGCGTGCATGTGTGTGTACACGGTGTGTGTGTTTATCTTATAGTGCCTCTTAACCTCATTAACCAGATGGTTCTTCTTCCCTCTCTCTCATGTCTTTCCAGTTTGCACGCTTTGAAACAGTTGATCTGTCTCAGGTCGCTTTGGCAGAAAGCAGCTGTAGAAACCTTTGCCACGGTTTTTGTGTAAGTAAGATTGGGGATGACTGATGGGACAGGGGTAGGTGCTAGCTAGGAAGAGAGGCTGCCATATGCATTCACTGCCTCCTCAGAGTCAGATTTCCTAAGTCTCATTTGATCCCAAAGTGTGTATGAAAATCCATTTAAAGTAGCATTGCAAATGAGTGCTGAAGATTATTCATGGAACCACTTTCTACCAGCCCACTGATGGGGCCAGGAAGGAAGTGATGGTCCTGCTCCCTATTACCAGCTGAGCTGATTTCAGTGGAGGGAGTAGTGACAATTACAAAAATCAATCCTCCTGGAGAAGGTAATTTAGAGGAGTATCATTGGGAGAATCATTCAAGAGACTGTTAATATGTAATGGAAAATATAAGGGTATTTGAGCTACAAGAGATTGATGAGATAGATAAGAATCTCAATCCAAAGTGAAAGCTACCTACCCTGTGCTGAGATTACTGATGAGAGTGCCTCACAGAAGGCACATTTTCTTTCTTTTTTTTTTTTTTTTAAAGATTTATTTATTTATTTATACAAGCACTGGTACAGTCAGAAGCACAGGAGGGTGAGAGAATTCACCAGAGCCAGAGCGGGGAGCACAACAGGCAGACTGACGAAGTACACTGCTGAGGGGAGCAGCAGGCAGCAGGAGAGGTCTGCGCGCTATGTGAGACCCTCACCCGGTGGCCGGGAATCGAACCGGCGCTGCAGAGGCTGCGGGTAGCTTCACAGCCCAACGCTCAACCGCTGCGCCACCGGGGAGTCCCCAGAAGGCAGATTTTCTAGGAAAGTATACAAGAGCTTGACACTGCTGAAATTCCATAAGGGTTTGGTCATTCAAGTGATTCCAGAGCAGAAAACTCACTGAAAATTAGCAAGTACATTGGCCAAGGAATTATCTTACCCACCTCTTCTCCAAACTGTTCTCCTAGCCTCAGTGGTGGGTTATAGAGACTAGAGTTCCTCTTCAGACAGGTGAAGGGTGGTAATTAGCAGACTAAAGAGCCACAGACCCAATACCCTGCTACCTTGGCTGCTTCAAATTCCATTCTCTTAAAAGGAGAACCACTGGACATAAGAGGGAAACCCTGATCTCATCTCTCTCTCATCTCTCTGATCTAGCATAAAGCTGAAAATTCTGTTGACCCAGTCCAAAAAAGCTTAACCTTTCAGTGATAAGCATACAGGCTAATGTTTTTGGTTCTCCATTCTGCAAAGAAATCTCAAGGGTTAGGTTGCCCCTTAGCCTAATTAAAACACTGATGAACAAAGGTTTGGACCAAAGGAATGCTGTCATCACAATTCCCATTAATCCTATTTCTGTTTATTGCAGAATCATGCTGTGTTACATGCAAAAGGAGAAAGAAATTGCTTATCCGTTTGGTGAGCTCTAGCTCTAAGATTGGAGGGAATGGGGCAGACTAGTACAAAGGCATATAGGGCCAGTGAAGTGATGGCTAATGCTATTACCACCTCTGTTCCCTCCTGCCCTGTCAGGAAAGACCAAGTCCTGACCATGGTCTGCCTCTCATAGACCTTCAGCATAGCCTTTTCATTACTCCAGTCTGGGTTCTTGCACCAAGCAGCATTCAGAGGAACGATATAAAATTCCCTATGATTGTCCCTGCCATTTAGAAAGAATGAAGCTGGATTTTTGGATTCCTCACTCCAGTCTTACTCCCTCCAAAAAGAAAGTAGCACACCCTCATGAAACATATACCCTTTTACTATTTTCATGTAGACAGAACAGCCATGACTAAAGAGGATTTTCAGGCAACCTCACTTGAGTAATAAATGGATACCTGCTTTAATGTTTAAGAGCATGTCTTCTGAACCAAAGAATCTAGATTTTAATTCTGGCATGTTTTTTTTCCTGCTGAATGGCCCCAGGCAGTTCATTCAACTGTCTTTCACTTGCTTTTCCTGGCTATGAAATGGGAGAAAATAATTCCTATCTCATGAGGTTGTAATAAAGATTGAAATGGGGCCTCCCCAGTGGTGCAGTGGGTTGAGCGCAGTGCTGTGAAGCTTTCCGCAGCCTCTTCAGCATGGGTTTGATTCCTGGCCAGCCAGAGAGATACCCACATGGCACAGCAGACCTCTCCTGTCTCACCCGCTGCTCCCCTCAGCAGTGTCTTGGGTCCATCTGCCTGTCCATCTGCTCTGTCTCTGGTGAATTATCTCACCCTCCTGCACCTCTGACTGTACCCCAGTTCTTGTATAAATAAATCTTTTTAAAAAAAGATTGAAACGATGTATATAAAGTGCAATGGAACAGTGGATAGAGAATTCCTGAGTGTATTTACAAATATTATTATTATTATCATTATCATTATTATTATTACTATTTGTGGTGGTTATCTAAAAGACTGTGATGACTTTGGGAACTCCTGTCTCACATTTAAGAAGTGGCATGGGGTGTGATTGGTAAACCTGTCTAGTTCCTTGGAGAGTTCACAGGCTCTATTTGGGGGTAAGGTTGTGCAGTGGAGTAATAATGTGACTTTTTTTTTAGGTGATCACACCACAACGAAAAGTTACCCTGGCTGCACCAAACCGGAAAGACATGGAAGAATGGATTAATGTCATAAAAACCGTCCAACAGGGAGAAATCCGTAAGGTAAGGGAAATAGAGAATCCACACAGCTCTCGGGGGTAAACACCTAATTGATTGTATTAGTTAAGCTACCATTCAAAGAGGGAAATAATAAAATGAAAGAAGAGACCATCTGGCCAGGAATTAAATGGATACCATTAGGAAACCTGTTTAGAAATATTCCTAAATAGGAGTAACTCACTTAGACTCAGATTGGTAAGTATGTGGTTTAGATACCACTGTACACATGCACCTGGTGTGTAGATGTCACAGTGTGCCCAGTGGATGAAGCCCCAAAAACATATGTGAGCAGCTAACTTAGATGTTCTTATTTAGAAAAGCTGCAATTAACAGTCTTGATGGTCTGCTGAATGACTCCAGTAGCAGTTAAGGAAACTGAGACTCTTAATAGAGAAGGAATCAGATTGAAATAACTACTCAGTAGCAAAGTCAGGATTTGGACCTAGGCTGTGTACAATTCTACCTTGTTGTTTATTGTGCACTGCAAAAGAAATGTGGAGGCAAGAACAAGAAGCAGGCCTCCTCAAGGCTTAGTAGGGTTCTTTTCTCCAATACCAAATGCCTGGCCAATGCTACCTGCAACAAGTTGGACCACCATTCAAACTCAGGACCGCACCCTCAGCCTACTGTTCTATAGCTCTATACCATGGTTAGAAGTTATATAGGTTTTGGGGGCCTCCCTGGTGGCGCAGCGGTTGAGCGCTGGGTTGCGAAGCTGCCCGTGGCCTCCGCGGCACTGGTTCCATCCCCGGCTGCTCCCCGGCCACCAGAGGAGGGTCCCACATGGCGCACAGACCTTTCCTGCCGCCCGCTGCTCCCTCAGCAGTGTACTTTGGTCCTTCTGCCTGCTCTGCTCCCCACTCTGGCTCTGGTGAATTCTCTCACCCTCCCATGCTTCTGACTGTACACAGTGCTTGTATAAACAAAAAACAAACAAACAAACAAACAAATAAATAAATAAAACATGCCTCTAAAAAAAAAAAAAAGAAGTTATATAGGTTTTGGCATGCAGACCTCTCCTGCCGCCCACTGCTCCCCTCAGCAGTGTACTTTGGTCCTTCTGCCTGCTCTGCTCCCCGCTCTGGCTCTGGTGAATTCTCTCACACTTCCGCACTTCTGACTGTACCCAGTGCTTGTATAAATAAATAAATAATAAATCTTAAAAAAAAAAAAGAAGTTATATAGGTTTCAAGGTGGGGTGGAGGGAGGGATTGTGTCATTTATTTACTCAGAGCACTGCCTCACACATAATAGAGGCTCCATAATTATTTACTGAGCAAGTAATCTGAGGGTACCTTGGAACCAGGGTTTGAAAAGAATGACAGATGGTCATCCTAAAGCAAAGTTCTACCATGAAGACCTTGAAGATTAGAGCAAGATAAATTTGTCCTATCCTGGTATCTTAAATAACTAGCAAAGGGTGAAGGATTGTTACAGGAATTGGGGTAAAGCAGTGTAGAATGTGATTTAGGAATAATGGGTTGAGAAATAAAGAAAAACAATGTTATAGAGAAAATAAAATCTGTCTTTACTCCCAGAACACTTCTCAGGCTTTTGACCATTTACTGCAACTATACATTTTTGCTGCTCATGGCTGTTATATAAGTTGACTGAACTGGGGCGTAGGTAGCTCTCCACTGAGCATTGAGGCCTCTCCTACACTGTATGTGCTTTATTATTATTATTTTTTTTTTGTGGGACCCTCGCCAGCAGCTGGGAACAAACCGGCGCAGCAGAGGCTGCAGGCAGCCTCACAGCCCAGCGCTCAACCGCTTCGCCACCAGGGGAGGCCCCACTGTATATGCTTTATTAAGAGATTCTTTGCTTAGATTCTGAAGATGGTCTTCATGTGACTTATCACTCCACATATCACTCCTTTCTTTCTTATTTTCTTCTTCCTTTCCTGATGCAGAAGCACATCCCTTTGCTCCCCCACCCCCAATAAGGCCACAAGGGCAGAGCATTGGAGGTAGCCACAAAATGGGATTTCCATGTTGCTCCTCTCCTATTCTTACCCCTGTAGACCAATTCCTTTCCTTCCCTCAGCTTATCTCTATCCAAACTGGAATGCTTCTTATAAAATACCCAACTCATAAGAAGCTATTCTAGTTGACATGTAGTTGTTTATCTGTTGTTGGGAGGGAGGGGACCTCCTAGTCCATCATCTTGTTGCTGTCACTAAGAAAAATTAATTTTTAAAAACGAATGTTTAAGTTCTTCATAAAAGGTCACATAAGATATTTTGAATTTTAGCTACTAGTGCAGAAATGCAAAACTACTAGAGACAGTTATCAGAGAGCTGATATGCCATTCCTGGCTCAGTTGAATGATACATGTAGGTGTTGACTACCCAGCATAAGCTAGAAAAGAAAAAAAAGGAACAATCTTCCTGTTTACTCTACTGGGAGAATTGAAAGTTTCAAATTGTAATCACAACCTCTGTGGAGCTACTCCAGGTAAATAGATTTAGGTAAACCTATTGAGGAATATTTTAGCAAATATTAGCAAATAGCAAATACGGTGAAATATCTCACCATAAACAACTTGGTAATCTTGCTTGAGGCTTAAAGTCAAACATTTTTTTCCTTCCTATGTACCTTATATAATGGTCTCTACTATTCTCTGTCACCACCACTGCCTGACAATTGGGGTAAAGGGAGATTAATCCTGGACTTAGTGGTCTATTAAAGTCACTAAAAAGTAATTAGACAAGCTATTGGAAACTAGTCAGTACATATTAAAGAGTGAGCTCCTAGTAGGTGTCCAGTTTTGTTCCAAAGAAAGTTCAAAGGAAGGTGTAGTCTTGGCTCCTGGTCTCAATGAGATTTTTAGGCTTGTAGGGAGACAAGCTATATACAAAAGAACAGTTAAGTGACAGTACTTGAGATAAATAACAGTTTTCAAAGATGTTACAAGGTAGTGCATGATTGATTGCCCAATGAATGAAACAGACAGTAAAGTGGTATGGGAGTTCAAAAGAGGAAGAGATAAATATGAGATGTAATCCTCAGGGAGGAGTTAATAGAGGAGAAATTTGATACTGACCTTGAAATATGAATAGGATTTTATTGATGGCAGGGGATTAGGGCAGTGGGAACTCTTGATCAGAAAATTGGTATAAGCAAATATGAGTAACAGAAAAATAGAATATTTTTGTAATAGAATGAAAGGGAGACCACATTTAACCAGGAACGTTCATTTAAGAAATATCTGGAGAGGTAGCTTGGGCCTGATTTTGGGGGATCATCAATGTAAATATATTGTGGAAGAATTGCAATATGTTCAAAGTTTACTTTATTTTTATTTTTTTAAAGATTTATCTATTTATTTATGCAAGCACTGGGTACAGTCAGAAGTGTGGGAGGGTGAGAGAATTCACCAGAGACAGAAGGGAGAGCAGAGCAGGCAGACTGACGAAGTACACTGCTGAGGGGAGCAGTGGGCAGCAGGAGAGGTCTGCGCACCATGTGATACCCTTGCTCGGTGGCCAGGGATGGAACCAGCACTGCAGAAGCTGCAGGCAGTTTCGCAACCCAGCGCTCAACTGACACTGCGCCACTGGAGAGGCCCCTCAAAGTTTACTTTAAAGATAAATTGGAAAATGAAGAAAGTTGATTAAAGCGTACTTTAGAAATATAGGCTGTGTTAGACAAGGAAAAAACTGGAGGCCAGAAGATCATAGAAGAGGTTATAGATTAACTCAGGCAAGACAAAGTTAAGCCCAAAATGGGGAATGAAAGGGTTAACAAAGGGTAGATATTCATTTGCAAGTGGTGGAAAATCTAAATATATGAAAATTGCAAGGAGAGAGAAGAGTCACAGGCAGATGAAAGGTTTGAGCCTGGGGCACTTAAAGAAAGAATAACAAGTAGAAAACTGGAAGTAAGGATATTTTGCTGCAAGAATAGGTTAAAAGATTAGCTCTTGTGTGAAAGCATTGACTATGGGAACAAATATGGACCTTAAATGTCTTCTAGAATCAAGATTCTAAATTCTAAAACATCTTTAGATCAAATCACATAGCCTTTCTTTGAATGCTTCCAAAGCTGGGAAACTAAGTTTCTTGCAAGAGTACATTCATTCAAAAAAAAAAAAAAAAAAAAAAAAGAGTACATTCATTCAATATTCCTAAAACTAAATTTTAGAAATTTTTTTTCTTAATCTTTGGTCTAGCAGATGAACTTTCTAACATTCACCTTGAGTTGCAAGAATGGTATCAGCTACATATTGAATTAGAAAGCTCCCTGTCATTAGAAGTATTCAAAGCAAACAATTTAAACAACTGCTTCTCAAGATGTTATATAAAAGATGAATTCTTCATAGTGACATCAGCAAGATAGTGGACTAGGAGGTCTAAATACTAATCCCCTCCCCTCACAAAATATAACCAATGAACAACTCTATGCCAACTAGAATAGCTGTGAAAGAGCTCCAGAATACAATAAACTGCAGAAACTCTATGGAACACTGAGACAGAGAATCATTACATAGAAAAGCATAGTAAGTAGATTACTTATAACTCCCCAAGTACCCTCCACAACCCCCCAGACTGGTACAACTTGGGACCAAGAGGAATTTCCTGGGCCTAACCTATCCCCCCCCCCCACAATGGGGTTGAGAAGAAGAGCAGGAGGATTCTAGCAACTCTCATCAGTGCTGTGGACACACACAACTTTCACATGTAGGTTCCTCACCATCTTCATTGATGCTGAATCCAGCTGACAGAGCTTCCTAGATTCCATGCCTCTATATCCCCACCCCCACCCTAGAAAGAACCACTACAGAACACTTTGGGAGAAGCTACCAACACTGTACCTACTGGGGAGGTACCACTGCATATCCTACTTCCAAAGCTGCTGCCATTACATCCAATCCTTCACCCTCCTGGCAGAGCCACAGCACACCCTGCCTCCACAACCATGTGCACACCCTGGACCACAGTTCCATGGCTCAGCACACATCCATGCCTCATACCAGGGCTGCCACTATAATGAGTACATCCA